GAATAGAAAAAGCCAATTTTTCAAAATCCATGAAAAATTAGGAGCATGGTACTCTGAGGCAATGTTACACAACTACTCTAGTGGATAGATTAAGTAAACAGGCTTACCTGTTAATAAATGATTGTACGTAATTATTGTAAATTAATATTTCGTCATTCACAAATATCTAGTGAACAACTAGTGATTCATAGCATCTATCTTTAAATCACATACCAGTACATTTTAGCAATTTCTTACCTCATGTACCCAAAGTCGCATTAATTTTTCTGATTCCTTCAGCTTTTCTGATGGGACGAGTAGCACACCTCGAATTACACGAGCAAAGTCACGTAAATTGAAGACATAGTGAGATTTTGCTGGCGTAGGAAGAAATTTTGCGATTGCATGCTTATATACATTTAAAGTTGACTGAACCATCAGCTAGTTATCCAAACCGGTTTAGTTATAGATAAGAGATAAGCATAAAAAAGAAAAAAACTAAAATTAAATTAAAATCATGTTTAATTTATACGGTATTTCCAAATTGTAAGGGAAAACGATGTGGTTGACGAGACTAAAGTTTTCAGGCACAGAAAAAAACAAAATGCTTCCTAGTCTATTGATTAGCTAGGAAGTGAGACTTGGCATTCCAAATTGGGGTCTGATCAGATGAATAAATTTAAATACAAAGGCTCTTCTGCAATATACTTGTATAGGGTTCTGTACAAAAAGTCAAAATCTACCTTTAATTAGACATACTTTTGATACTTGTACATTTTAGGGTTAAGAATAGGGGAGTGCATGTAATTTTCCGCTTTCTGCGTATCTCCGTATCCAGCCAAGCGATTAGCATTAGAACATTCAAATAGGTGTTCTGTGTGAACCCACTTTCTAAATCGTGCTGCTATAAAGTTTTGTGTTCATGTGGTAGCGTCTATGTAGGGGAGACCTGTCGACCCATACATAAGAGGTTATATTAACTTAAAACAGGCTACAAAGGTTTTTGAGTCAAAAAGTTAGTATTGGCTGAACACGTAGCCCACATAGGACACCTAATAGACTGTTCGAATGATAAACGTTTAGCTGGATATGGAGAATATATCAGTAAGCGGAAAATTCGGGAATCTATAGAAATTAACAAAACACCCAACTACCTGAATAGAAGGTAAGAGCGTAGTAAATTAAGTGGGAACAAACTTGTGATGTTGGATAGGATTAGAGAGAGAGAGAGAGAGGGAACAAGAAGTACTGCCGAGCAAAAGAAAGCTTAATAAGCCTCAAATTTGGTTTTCATTCTAGAGCCCCACGCATCTCACAAGCGTTGCATGCATACAACACGCGTTCAATGAAACGCAATCATATGTGGCACTAGTGAAGGATCAAGCAATTGCATCTATTTCACGCTTAAATTGCGGCTAATTCACATGTCATCCGCAGCCAATTTACTTTTCAACAGCATGTCGAAACGGCATAGGATATCCAACCATAACATGAGATGCTTAATTAAGTGGACCAAATTGGATTATAAGAAGTAGGTACGTTTAAAGCCTTCCACCTTTCTTGCCTTCGTGATTTTGGTATCCTGCTTTCGCAATGTCATGACGGACAAAAGCTCAGCAAGGATTAGTCGGGGTCGCAGAGTGTTGCACCGAGGACATATTCACACAAAGCTACAATTCCAGCTCCACGGTAATCTACCCACAGCTTCCAGAGAGGTTAACTTACAAATCCCTTACACTAACTATCCTCTTCAAGTGAAATGACATTCATTCTAACATGAAAGGATTTCTTATTTGTATTTTTGTAAAAAATGCAAATTGCTCCATTTATCCATGACGTTAGAGAAAATTTCGTTGATTAGGATAATTCAAATGACAAATTCTAATTTCATTCCAAATATTCTGATTATTAGTATTTCTCTAGTCTTCCTCTTTTAAAGTAAATTCAAAAAATATACTAACGAAGAGCAGCATATTTCAGGATAAAGGCAGCTAAAAACATATCCATATTAATATAATTACATCTTACCAATTAAAAAAAAGGTTTTTCATAATTTTTTTTTGCACCTAGTTATATATGAGCAGCTATGTATGAGACATGAAATAGGCTTTATTCATATTTTTTAATGTAAATTATTCATACTTTGTTTGCTACTTTATATTCTATCAACATTAAATTTCATAAAATAATTTTTTAAACAACCTTGCCAAGTCGGCTGAAGCAGGCTTCAAATCCACGCTGGAAATGAATGTCAGCAACGGTTGAGAAGATGCGCATCATGGTGGTGTCATCGAATTCATTAAGGCCTAGCACGTTCGTATGCCTAGTAAATCTGCTTGTTATATCATTTCGACCACCTCCAGGAGGACCCATAGCCGCCATAAAACGCTACAACATAAAGATAAATCTCCTTATGTGGATATTCTACTTTATGAGCCTGTTACAAGGAGAGTAATAGGTCTTTTTTATGTATAGCCTAACTGGAAACTATAATTAGCTTTGCTAAATACTGCAACATTAGAGAAGTAACAAAGATGTTGACTGAGAAAATGGAAAATATAATAAAACCAATTATTATAAGGGTAAAAAAATCAATTGTTTTCAATAGTGGAATAAAATTCAATTTAGATTTATTAGTTACCCTAGCAGCAAAATTCATAATACAAGTGCAAAAATTTAAATAAGTAAAATTGTGCGGTTGGCCGTCACGTAACGCTATAATATAAGAAATCTTATACATGGAAATTATAATCATTAGCTCAATAATCAAAAATCAGAATTGTTGCAGCATTTTCCAATTTTACTTCAATTTTAGGAATGGAAATCATATGGACAAACTAATATAACTAGGAAGATATATTAAAACATAAAAAAAGCTGTGCTGAGATATTATAAAGTCATTGCAAAGAATAAGAAATGAATGCCGTACGTTTGGGCAGAAAAGTATAAGAATTGTTTTATGCAAAAATATGTAATTTAGGTGTTACTAAGGCTCCTAACTTAGCAAACTACATGCATCTATATTAATCCGCAGTTATACTATTCATTTACTTTGATTCCATAGATTAATAAAGTGAGGTTGATATTCAAAATTCAGGAGTTACTTCATTGGAGCAGTAAAATCTAAAGTTTTCAGATGAATTATAAGTTTAAAAGTTGGAAAAATAATTGGCATATAAAAATAACTTGAATATTGTTAGCCTCATAAATATTCTATTAAGATTTAACTAATCCAGGAATGTCAACGTTATAAACAGTGTTCATTAATGAAAGTGATAACTTAAAATTTTTAAAAATGTTTTAGCAATACTTCAGCTCGAAAGAAACATTTCAAACGACTGAAAATGAAAAGTAATTTGCCTATCAAGAGGCAACTCGTTGGTACACATTATGAATAAAACTACAATTGATAGAATAATCTGAAAACTTGCTTAGCATAGCTGCCAAATTTACTATGTACTTTTTTTAACTGTTTCAGATATGGCTTCTTGCTCTGGTGATGGTAATCACAAGCTAGGCTTATGGTTGATTACTTGTTTACAATCATAGTACGCTGGGGGCTAATGCTCAATTCTCAAATCTAAGTAAGTTTATGGAATCTCTAAGGCAACCATTAAATTCCGCAAACACCGGTGTAAGCAATAACAAGTTACAACTTTAACATCTTATTCTACCAATTGGGGTTAATTTTTTCAGGTAAAATCTTCTTCTCATTTCAAATATTTAATAGTTATTTACCTATATTGTTGTTTGTGTCCTAAAATACAGGTTTATCCAATCGACAGCAGTTCAAATGCAAATATGACTTTTAAGTGGCATTCTTCATAATGCATGTTACTCACTTAACTAAAAAATTAGGCCTTAAAAATGGGGTTGAATAGTAATATTTATTCCTTCGAAGAACGTGGTATATTTATAAATCATAAATGGAGAATTAATGAAATCCACATGAGCTAAATGATACAGCTAGTCTACTTAATAATAAGATAAAAGGCAGAGTGGTGTAGAAGTGTAAGAATGAGTCTCTTTAATTCGGCATGCGTAACCTTGCGACCAGATCTTGAACCTCTATTACAATTACAAAATCAATAAATATAATTGAAAAGGATAATTTGAAGGAATTGTTTGACCTTGTTTTCGCAACTTGGTCATATTAGCAGGAAGACCTAGAGGAACGCACCTTGTCCGGAGTCCAAAGTATTCATGATAAATTAAAGAGTCGTACTGTAAATTTGGTACATTCCCAGACGTTTGACCGTCATCGTAGTCGACATCGTCAACGAGCTTTGTCATTCTTAGCACCACACTACAACGTGTCAAAAAGACGAATGAAGTCAACCCTTTGACAAATTGTGTGCGATAACGTTGTGGTATCTCTCCTTCTGTCCGGGGCTATTCTTGTCAATGTGACGAGTTATAGTGTGGTACTAGGAATGGCAAGGCTCACTGACGATGCCCACTACAATGTCGGCAAAATGTTTAAGAATTTACAAAGTCCCCAGTCCGACTCTGGAAATAATCATGTATAC